ATCTTAAAAAAAAAAAAAGAAATGTTATCATGACAGGTAGAGAGAGATTGGAAAGATCTGGTGAAAAAGGGATGTAGTGAAAAAGGAATACTTGAGCATTGTTAGGTGGATTCTGAATTATCACATTCACTATGGAAAAAGTATGGAGTTCCCTCAAAAAATTAAAAAAAAAAAAACAGAACTATTACTTGATCCAACAATCCCACTTATTTTTTAGGAAGTGACATCACAACAGCAAAGAGGTATCTGCATTGCCAAGTTTACTAGAGCACTATTCACAGTAACCAAGATATAGAAACAACCTACATGTCTACCAAGATAAAGAAGTGGTCTATACATACAATGGAATATTATGCAACCATGAGAAAAGAATTCTGCCATTTGTGACAACATAAATGGGACCTTGAAGGCATCATGCTGAGTGAAACAAGTCAGACAGAGCAAGACATGTTCTGCATGATATCACTTATGTGGGATATTGAGGGAGAAATGAAAGTCAAACTCAAAGAAATAGCATAGAAAAGCAGTTGCTAGAGGCTGAGGGAATTGTGCAGGGAATAAGAGATAGGTAAAAGGTACAAACTTTCAACTATAAGATGATTAAGTTCTGAGGGTTTAATAAATAATGTAGTGACTATTGTTGATAACACAGTATTCTATAACTTAAATTTGCTAAGTAGAATTAACTGTTCTCACCCAAAAAGGAAGAAAAAATATAAAAATGTAGTGATGAACATGTTAAATAACTAGATATGTGTACACATATCAAATCACTGTGATGTACACTGAAATACTTTATAATTTTATTTTTCAATTATACTTCAATAAAGCTTAAAAATGGGAACGAACACATAATTCATTTTTCACTTTTTATTCTCTCATTTACCCTCTTGCTTTGTATCTTGCCCTTCCTTCTCTCTCTCTCTGACATTATTCTGAAGTACACAAGTTTTGTGGCAATATTTGAACCTGCAGTAGTTAGATCTTAGCTTTCTCTAAAACATCTGCATGCTATGCTTTGCTTCACTCTGTTCAACAACATGACTTTTTTTTCCCTACTGACTTGAAAAACTGAAATTAATGACCCAACAAGTAAAAGAAGGGTACTTAGGAAAATGGGCTTGGGTAACATAAGTAAAGTAGGGAAGGCACCTTCCTGAGGATTTCAGAAGCACATCACAAGTGTCTATCAACCACAAAATGTGTTATCTTGTCAGAGGATGGCTAGAGAATTTTTTTATTTTCAATTATACATGGTATTTTACCTCTCATTTTATAAATGAGACCACCTCATATATGAGGGGAAAATCACTAAGAACATGCAGAAGTTTTAAAAATTAGTCACTGGTTACCATGGTAATGCAATTATTACCTAACAACTCACTGGGCTGTAAGGAAAAAAGATGATTGTTAAATGGGTGATTTTAATAATGAAAAATGGGGCTCTATTTTTAGGAGTACTTGCAGGGAATTAGACAAACCTAACAGCAGATTGAAGACAGTCTGGGCCTGCCCCTATGTGGTCAGAATTGGACATCTCTCTTCTTCCCTGAGCATGTCAAGTTCTGGGTCATGCACACATGCAGCTGTGCAGGAGACAGCTGCAGAGGAAGAGCGATAATATTTTGTTTACAAACAAGCACTTTGATTGGGAAGATGAGTCTTCTTATTCCTTAAACTCATAATAAAAGTATAATCCCTGTTACTGTCCACAAAAGGTGGTTAGGCCAGGAGATAGTAGTCCCTTTAAACTCAACATTAGATTTTTCTCAGGTAAAACAAGATATCCCAGAAAATTACTCAGACTCCCACTTTCCCACTGTTCTGAATAATTTGAATTTTCTTGGTGTATGGTCATTTTAGTTAGAACAATTGCATAAACATATAAATGTTTAAATTATTCTAAAAATCAGGGGCGGGAGTACAGGAACACATTCCTAAGTCAAACAGTACGTAAGACATAACTTCTGCTCATGATCCATAATGCCCAGCTCTTTAAAAGTGTTTTTCCAAGTGGTCTCTGGGTAGCACATCAGAATTCCCTGGGAGGTTCTTCAAATGCAAAATCCTAGGCCACATACTCAAGGCACTTTCAGTCTGATTCTCTGGGGGTGGGGTCTAAAAATTTACATTTTTAAAAAAGGAAAAGCTTACCAGGCTTATGACTTCTCTAGTCTGTGAAACTAGTTCTTTGATGGTCACTAGGGGACCCCAGTCCGTACAGATTAATCAAAGACTCAGTAGCTCTTTGATTACAATCAAGGGCAAAAACCAGCAATATAGGTATATTATATATGTATATGGATGACACACTTATTTCACAAACAACACGGGTTATATACTCTGACCTATTTGCCTCTTGTATTCCAATTTTTAAGGCTATGGCAACCAATTAAATTATTTCACTACCCACTAATTGATGTCCCACAGTTTGAAAACCCCTATAATTTCCATTGTCCTGTAATTTTATCACCTATATTTTACACTTTTTATATTATACCCCATACAGTAGAAAAGCATCCAATTTTTCCAGTAATGCCACAATAGTTTAGCTACCTTAAAAAGGTAAACAAACTTGGAATGAGAAAATCCTGTGCTTGAGGATACAATGTGTGTGTGTGTGTGTGTGTGTGTATGTATGTATGTATGTGTATATGTGCATATTATATGTATCAGGAAGAACAGCATGCAGATTATAAAAATACAGTGTAAAATAAAATAAATATTAAGAAAAATCAAGCAAAGGAAAAATATAGATAGGAAACTTTGTGTAATAACTCAAAAAGCAGGTAAAATCAATAAGTACAACTTAGGCCAGAAATATAATCTACTTGTTAAACCTTATCTTTCTGGCAATCAATTTGAAGAGAAAAATACAGTTATGGAAGCTCCAGTGTCCATAAGAATTTGAGAAGCACTTCCAGGGCCTAAGTTAGTTCTCCTCTGGACTGGACAAAATGTCCCCACACCCACTCCTTAGGGTAGAAGAGATCATAGTGGGAACAGGATCTTTACTGCTGTCCACCTTCCACCACCACTTGATTAGGGATAAGATCATAAGGACCATGTTGGGGGGGAAAGGATGTACTGAATGAACTCTACAAGCAAAGGTTTTATGGATACCACCCTCACTCTAGACCAAAGAGATACAAGACACCAAGAACTACAAATCCTATCATGTCATTATCACTGAAGGGAGGATTGCTAGGAAATGAGGATGGTGTTAATCAGCAAAATTTGGTATATAACCAGATATGCAGGCCTTATGGGTTATTTGGCTTTTTACCAGAATTCAGCATGCTATTGAAGTTCCATCTCAGCAAACTGGTAGGATGCATTCACCAATTTATTTCTCTCTCTTTCTCTTGAGTTATTCATTTCTTCATTTCCCCTTCTTTTGTAAATAAACCCTTTATTAACCTTTTTGTTTGTGCCTGTAATTGAGTCTTATTTTAAGTCTCTTTTAGTGTGTGGATAGAGACCCACGGTCAAACAATTTCATATTGGAGTTGCCCTATAACAACCCCAGGACAAAGCCTGATGCTTGAGGGCACCATATACTCTCTCCTCCTAGAGTATTTATAATTCACTACTATCTCAGTGCTAACACATTGTCCTGGTAAAAACTGTTCACAGAGCTATTACTTCTCTTCCACCAAACCTTGTTCCATTAGGACAATAGTGGCATTTCAGTCAAGTATCCGTAAAGTGGAGTTAAATGCTAACTCTTACATAAACACGGAACAGTAAGTTACAGCAGCACAAAGATCTGATCTTGTTTCTTTATTCTTCTGTCCCCAAATGCAGAATACACAGTACAATTTCCTGACATAGTGGTAAAATTCTTTGACTTTTATGATTTTCTTATATGTGACCCAAAAGCCAATATTGTTTCCACCACAGGTAAATCTTGAGGGAGAAATCAACAAACAGAAGTACAAGTTTCAATCACTCTTCAAAAGTGGAGTATTCTTATAAAACCATACATAAGCCAAAATGGCAGAATGGGAAGAAGCAATTATCATTATTTATATATGTAAAATAATTGAGAGTCTTAGACCAAATCATACCAAACAACACATAAATCCTAAAATAACAGTAATGTAGAGTAAAAACAGTAATGATATGACATTCACAGCAGGTAGAAAGTAGTGCCCAGGAAGGAGCTTGGGTGTCCAACTTTCACTGCTGAGGATGCCCTGCTTCTGGAATAGCTGCTACAAAATAAAAGCTGAATGATGTTCTGACTTTTGCCTTTTTTCATAAAAGCAAAAAACCTCTTTGAATTTCTTTTAACTAGCCAAAACAGGTACAAACATAGGAATTTTTTTTTTTTTTTTTTGTAAAAGAGAGGTAGCACATGTTAAGTTTGAGCAACAAGGGATACCTGAAACCTGGCTGGCCCAGTTTCTGGCATACAATATATGCTAACTGCTTATTTCCCCTCCTTTCAAGGCTATCTAAAACATTAACTTTACTTGCTGCTGGAGCTTTTGTACTCTGCATAACTCCATCCATCTCTTCCAAGTCACCAAAAGAGCAAATTCACCCAAGAAGAAAGGCAGAGTTCCTGGAAGCAAGGAATACTGAGTACCCATACAATACCATCTTTTAAGAGGTTTATTTTTATTGTTTCAACTACTTTAAGAAGGGCTTAGAAGTTGTTCTAACAACAATAAAAAGCCTGATAAAGGAGAGTTAGGCTAACACATTAGTATCAAATAAATGCTTTAACCAAGCAATAAAAGAGATAATTAGTATATTCACTGTTAAGAGGCAAATGCAGTTGCTAAAACAGGAGACAGACACGTGTTTGGTCTTCACTCTTGAATGAACTTGTTGATAGTAAAATTTCAGTTGTTTGTTTTGCTGACTTTTTGCATGGATTATACAGATCTAGAAATTATATCAGCAAGTGTAATCCTCAACAGAGGAAACGTCAGTCATGTTTTAATTTCCTTAAATATATGTGCCCCAATTAAATGATGTGCTTATCCTACCTTTTCCGTGATATAGAAGTTTGAACTATCAGCATGCTGCAGTGCAAAGAACTCATGGTTGGAAATGGACCACCTTTAAAATAAAAGCATAAATTGATAAGAAAAACTAAACTTATGGTTTTCACTTTCAAGTTTGATAATGTAATATGAATTAAACAACCAGTAATTGGAATTAGGTTAGTACCCATCCTACTCCATAATACAGTCCCTAAGCCAAATGGCATTAGGAGTATCTTTCATAGTCTGCGACAGCTCAGCTTCTGTGAGGATTGTCTAGGTCATGTATAAACTTAATCTAAGCCTATTGCTCATTTTAAGCAACTTCATCTTAACAACCTCTAGAAGGAAGAGTGGGGGGCTTGAATATAAAGTTACATTCTACCCTATTTTAAAGAGTGAAGCAGTAGAGGAACACAGTGGAAATAATTGCAATTAAAATTTTTATAATAGTTACATTTCAATATAACTATAACTATATATAACTATATATATATATATATATATAAATTCTAGAACCTCCAATTGACCTGTTTGCCACATATTAGAATAGTCCAATTAAGTGTCTTAGCTCTTAAATAAATTCCAGGCAATATTCTATTTACAGTACTGCTTTAAAAGTGCAAGAATTATATGCAATGCCTATAGTGTTTTTCCTTTGGCTTCTTAGAACAACCAAAGTAGGAAAACCATATCTGTATCATTGACAGACTACCCACTGACTTGTCTTTCAAATTCTTTTATCTTCTAGGAAGACCTGAGTGGTCCTCTCCATTTACACCAGATGAAGTGTGTATTTAACCTCTGGAACTTCAGACGACTCCCTACTGAGTAGGATGAATGAGCACAATTTTTCAAAATAAATAAAATGAACCCTAGTGTGCACACATCAACCATTTCACTTTGTCGGCTCTAGGAGTAGCATTTTTGGTGGAAAAGAGCATGTAAATCTTACAGATGATTTTAAGCAGAGCAAGTAGTGACTTATGAGTAAGATTTATAACCACACAGAAGGATTTTGTCTCTTAATTAATGGATGAATCCAGAGTAACACTTACCCATCACAGACTTCCTTTATTATTGCAGACAGTGGTTTTTTCTGCAAAACAGCAAAAAAGGAAATACTTTCTGTTAGTTTCATTTCACCATTTTAAATTTTTAAAAAAGGTCTAATAAAAAGATATCTAAGCAAGGAGAATTTACATTCACTATTCTTAGTTGTTGTCAATGAGTCTGTTGTTTTCTTGAGATAATAATATCTAACAGATATCATCAAAAATTAATGCATTACTCATTATGGTTTTTTCTATGCACAATATTATTAGTTGAACAAAATATATCTCATATTTAACTTAGCCACACTAATTCAGTATAAAAACATAGCTTTGTTCAAAGATTTCATAGGCAATGAAAGCTGACAAGAGCGAATGATAACAAGATGTCCTCAGGAATAGTACATAAATTGGGTAACCAGCAGCTTAATTTAATGCAAACAAGCTTGGATTCTGATATTTTTATGAATACGTGTGGTAAATGGAATGCAAGGTGTTGCGAAATTGTTTCTACATGTACACAGAGTCCTTTCCCTAGCCATGGCTCAGTCAAGTGCCAATCAGACAGCAGCTTGAGCTGGACACACTCCAGTAATGGGACCATGACACCATGTGCCCTGGTGTCAACTGGCGTCTGTCTACAGCTGTGCTCTCAGTCTTAACAGTCACAGCTGTGCTCTGCCTCCCTCTAGATAAAAGGAATGCAGTGATGTGACACACACAGCTCATCCAGAGATGTCAACACTGCTTTGAATACTCACAGACCCTGTCTGTCTCCTGGGGTGGGTAATAATGTGTCAACCAAAAGAACAAATCACAGACAAGAAACAAATGGGAAAAAGAAATCAAAGAAATATAACATGTGGTCCTGGATTTTCAGATACAATCATCAAAAATTGTCTACTGCTGTACCTCTACAAGGCACTGGATCAAACCCTGGTTCTATTAGTTTGTCTGCAATGTAAACATTTCCTGACTCTCAACTAGTTAATCTTAAAATACCCTCTCTTCAAGGGGTATTTAACTTATAAAAAATTAAATTAAATGAGAACTAACACAAAAAGCAAAAAAACTCCATACAGGTTTAAGGCTCCAAATTCCTTCCCTTCTTTTACCACTGGAAAACTCCATCTCCAACTTGCAACCTCACCTTTGGACACATGCTACTATGTGTGCCCTCTCAGTGAGTGCAGACCACTGTTTATAGACTTTCTAGGGGCCCATGCCCCTGCTAAATCTCTAATTCAGTACTTAGTGTCTCTGCAAGGGAGCTCCAGCCTCCCTGACTATATCTATTCATGTGTGCAAAAGAATGTCTGTCTACAACTATAAACACAGTGGAGGGAAGGGGAACCTAGAATTGTCTAGCAATAGAAAAACAGTGTGGTGTTCCTTACATCCTAGGTTGATCTTCATTAGAATTAGGTTAGAAAGAGATATATTCTCAGTGAAGTTACTTGTTATGCAAATCCTAGACCTATGCAAGAACATTTTCACTGATTATGGCTCTCACTGTGGGTTCAGGGACAAATGTATTCTTATAACTAAATGACATAGGGAATTTAGGGACAAAAATTTTCCCCTTAAGAGGAAATTTTTGCACTTCCTGCTGTCAGAGACCTCTCCAGGCTATCAGTAATTCGTGATGATCTACCAGTTAGTCTCCCAGTCTTGCTTCTTTCACCCTCAAAATATAAGCAATATAGCTTGATCTCAAACTTAAATTTCATTGAAACACCATATCAAGTCAAGAAAGTATTGCTATTGAGATAAGAGAAGGCATATAAAGTAACCGTTCCTGAATTAGACTTCTTTTTGTCAGGGTCTCTAAAAGGAATTGCTTGGACTTTAATTCAGGAAGGTCTGACTCACAGATTCAGAATCGAATTTGAAAAGATGGAAGTCTATGGGGTACTATTATATCTAAAATATTCTGAAAAATGGATATATGAAAAGAGTAAAAATCATAGGAAAACAAAGCTTAGAGATTTAATAGAGAAAGATTAAAGAAAAATGCTAAACTACAGAGGAAAAGGAATCACAGTTAACTGAACACAATGCATCCAAGATGCAGCCTCACCAATTAAAATGAATGTTATGTGAGGGTCCCCCAACACACTCTCTACCACTATCGCCTCCATTCTAGTATCTGATCCAATGAAATGCTAACCTTCACCACTCAAACCTAGTTCAGTCATTGTTCAGTTCTCACCTTCCCTAAATCATCCCCCTTATTTGACTGCATTACTACTACCTTCTTTTGAAATCTTCTTTCCAGAGCTTCTGTGATATTTCCCCACAGGTATCACTAATAACCTTTCAATAAAATCCAAAAGATATTTCATTTTCACTTTTACTCAAGCTTCCTAACTTGAAATTCTGTTATTGTAGCTTCTGCTTTTACTTAACTGGTCAGTTCCTCATTCACTGCAGCTATACAAAGTCCACAGCTCGGTTCCAAACACTCGCATGCAAATCTTAAGTTATTAGCTACAGCTGTTGACTCCCCTTCAGCCACCTTATTAAATATGAAAAGAAAATTATAACTCTCCATTCCATGCCCATCAAGCTTTCCCAACAATTATAAGACCAGCAACTCCCTCCTATCCCCAGTAAGATTTATTTGACCAAGAGCATGATCAATCTTTATTTCTTCATTCTCTAGATCAGTTTTCTTACCAGTTTATGAACATTTTTCTCTGTAACATCCACATCAATATTTCTCATTAATTAAGTACTCTTCTGAATTTGGGACAGTTATTCCAACTACCAGTTGAATTTTCCCCCAGCCCATCACCCTTAATTCTACAGCCCCAGCCCCAACATGGTTCTTGAGCATCAACCCATCATTTTTTTTTTTAAGATTTACTTATTTATTCGTACAGAACTGGGGTACAGGCCAGAAATGTGGAGGGTTAGAGGATTCACCAGAGACAGAGCAGGGAGCAGAACAGGCAGATCGATGAAGTACACTGCAGAAGGGAGCAGCGGGCGGGTCAGGAGAGGTCAGCCTCGCCATGTGGATCTCCTCCAGGGCAGGCGGGGATCGAACTCATGTGGAAGTGTCTTAAGCTTCTTTGTGCTGTGCTTTAACCCGCTGTGCCACCAGGGAGGGCCCAGCCCATAATTTTTAATAAAATTTTTCATTGGTACATTAAACTGATTATAATCTTCGATTAGTTCTTGCACTCATTTTGCCCACTTTTGGTAGTTCTTCTGCATGCATTTTTCAAGGCTTTATCTTCACTCTCTTCTTTATATAAACATTTATAAGAGACTGAGACTCTTACTTACTCTAAACCCACTCTTTCCCTTTATCCTTCCAGACCTTATTACCACCTCTGTTAAGAGTTCTCAAAATCTCATTACTAGAAGCTTGAAAGTAAGCTGATATATCTCCAGTCTCTCTCTCCAACCCCATCATTAACTATAATTAGACAAAATTAGACTCGTCCCACAATATTTGCTCATGGACTGCTTTTGTTCTAATATGCTCCATAGGGTGACCATCAAGAATGTAGTATAAATTCCTTAAAAATTATTCAAGACTTTCCACAATCTGGGCTCATATAATAGAACCTTTTTCTAATACTATTCTTCTATATGTGTTTCCTATGACTAAGGACATATCATGATTCATTAAAAAAACACTCCATGCTTTTACTTGCTCCATTTACTCAGTTGAACTGTCCCTCTTCTTTATCCTGTTCCAATTCTAAAACTGAACTCATAACAATCATTAATATCCACATCAAAGCCACCTCTTTTAAGAGGCTTTCTCTTGGTCTATCTGAGGGGATAGCCAAAGACCAACTTAGCACATTAAATAAATCACTTCTTAGGACTCTGGATTTGTGTTATCTTCTTAACCCTTGAAACTATGGCATCTTAATTCATCTTTGCAGACTCCTCCATCTCTCAGTACTAGTTCTCATACTACACAGGTGTTAATAGGATCTAAAAGGATGCTCAGTGCATGCATGTCAACTGGAAAACACACAAAATCATTAACTCTCTTTTTAAAGCACAAGCAACAACAAAAGTTCTGAAAAGAAACAAACTGTCTTGAAGGACAGCCGGATTCATCAGCACACAGAGCACTTCTCATGCTCATCCATTGCTGGGTGTCTTTAAGCAGCTGCTGGCTCTACTGGTTATGTATGTGCAGGCTGTTACTACTTCCTGCACAAAACACCCTTGAAGGAGTTATGTGATTCATGGCTTGGAAGAACATGAAGTCTGTCTCTAATGAAGAGAGTTATGTGACAAGTGGTACAATACACACCATTTAAATGATTGCCCTCACACTAGCAGGGCCACGCAGGTAAGTAGCACTACTCTCATTAACAGGGCTGAACAAGATTCCCCAAAAGAAAACATTATTTTGATGTTACTGCTTTTCTCACATCCTGTATAAAGTCTTCATTTTGACAAGAGCAAGAGCTCCTGGACTGACTTCAATTCCAAGCCACACACCAGCTCTGCCCATGGATATTTTAGCTATTATTATCCAGACATGCTATGTAAGATGTTTCTGTTTAGCTTCTTTCCTGTTCAGTTCTTTCCTGTCACTTGGAGGTAAGAAGAGAAGGAAAGTACCTTGATACCTTCCTGCAGGCACACTGATAATTTTGCTTTTCACCTCAATAAGAGAAAGACCCAAGAGAAAGGAATATTTGGTCTGCATTGATAAAAACTAATTATCTCTAAGACTCTATAAGTAAACTTCTAGTTGAATATACCTGAATTTAGAATATAAATTACTCTGAATTTTTTCAACTGAATTATTCAAACTGTGTGAGTATGTGTTTATAACTTAAAAAACATAAGTTCTTTAATATTTTTTGAAGTCTAAACTCATTTTGGACTTAATGAGCTGAGATGAGAAGAGCAGGACTGTGTTTAAGGAGAGTCAGACATTTAATAGAATTCTACATATAAGGAATATGGAACTTCATGCAGTGTATCCCCCATATCACACATTGTTTTCCTCCTTCTTTTTAGCAACAGTGTTACTTAACTTTACATTATTCTCAAAAATTTTAAT